CTTTTTGTTTGGTGGCTTAGCATCCACCTACAGTCTGTGTGGGTAGTTTATGGTTGATACACTGTATGTCTGAAATCAGAAAATGGATTCATTCCATAATTAGGTTAAGTGCATTGTTTGAAGTCAGCTCATGCAGAAGATTGTACTCTTGTTCCAAGAACTGCCATTTTTATAGACAAAATTAATTCAGTCAAGGCCACTTGTTTAGCTGCTTGTCCAAACTTGCCTCTCCTGCTCTAGTTAAATTTCTTTCACTTATCTTGCCTCTTTTAATGGCTTCAAGGAAGCATCTTTGATACGAGGTCCAAGGCCTCTGCTGTTTTAGACAGACTCCCTAGACAGACACATTTCTGAAAAAATTGACTGTGTGTTTGACAAAATCAAGGATATGCAGGCCTCTGTTCCTTTCCTGTCTTCACCCAAAAAGTTCTGATTCTTAATGCCAATATGTATGCATGTAGACATAGCCAAGTATACAACTTGGTCCTTTTTTCAAACTGTAGGTTACCCCGATGTTAGAACATCTTGGCAACATTAAGAAATCACAGTATTGGCAGTTCATGATTTAAAGAGTTTCATACCAGTCTTCTATGTAAAACACAACACTGACTTATTCATACTTAAATTGACAGAAGCGATGGCATGTAAAATTTACTATGCACATCTTCTGTCTTTTGGAGAGGCATGTTCATGGGATCAGCCATTGTAGATTCCCAGGAGTGGTGCTTATATCTTAGCCATTATATATTATTGGTTGTTCATCAGCCAAGAAATGTCCTTAAAATAGGCCTGCATGCATCAATGAGGATAATACATTTTTTAACAAGCCAGCAGAGCAGTTAGAGCAGCATACTGCTAATTAGTAAGACATATTCTCATGTTAAGGGTTGGTAGGGAAGAAAGCCAGAGGACGTGTAACTAGGACTGCAGCCTCAGAATTTTAAGATCAAGGAGAAGTTGTAACATGAAAAAAGCAAATCTGATTGCACTTTAAATTTTCAAATAGCAAAATTAAGGTGAAAAACAGATGCAAAAGGAATGGGCAACCAAAGTCCACGTGCACCCACAAAATGATTTTTTTCTGTTCTCCCATCTTCTGAAACTGTTCCTTTGGAATGGAACACCAAATAACAGAGGCACAATTTCTTGCAGGTTTTTGATAGAAAACAAAATAAATGTGTAAAGGGTCTTAATGCACCTTGAAACAACTAAAGTTACTACACTACAACATGCAAACAATCCCTGGAAATCCTGGATCTGTATTCTTGTGTGATGCTATAATGTCTTTGCTTCCCCACTGTTTCATATGCCCCCCAAATGATTTTTTAAAAGGTAAAAGTTACAGCTATATAAACATTGCGGATATACAAGAGATATTATTGCTGGTACTCTCTGACTCTGTATGTGTGTGATGTTAATGATTTTTTACTTTAGGAATGTATTGTATTGCTGCTCGAGGAAAATGGATTGATCTGGCATTTCTAATGTTCTTTTTTTAGGTTTATCAAATGTTGAAAGTTCATCCATTGTTGCTGGCTTAAGGCAATTCTGCATCTCTCTCTCTATTGCATTTACTGGGAAGAAAGCTCACATTTCCTGCTCTGAGCTTGCTGGGAGGAAATCAAGATAGAGAAGTAAAAAAGCTATATGTCAGTAGAATTAATATTTTTCCCTTCCTTGGGCACCTTCTGAACTGCAACAACTGGTTTTAAATCTTATGTTCCTGTCACTGGAGACCACAAGGTGGCATACTAGCATCAGAGAAATTTATGCCAAGTGTCTATTTCATCAGAAACTGCATACTTAACAAGAAAAATGTTTTGCACATCCAGGGAGGATAGATAGACAGATGCAAGACAGATATATAGATAGATATATAGATAGTCTGGTGAAAAACACAAATTTTGGTGGAGGACTAAGAGTCAGCTTTTGCCAAGAAATAAATTATTACGAAAACACCAACCAGTGTGCCATACTCAACTACAATTGATTTTTTAAAAACATAATTAAGCTTCCTTGGTCCTATCAATCAAACGGTTTATTTATGTATTATTTATGACACAAATTTATAGACTCCTACTTTCATAATATCATGATTCACAAATAACCATGCATGAGAAAAGTCAGTACAAAAGGAAGTTTAAAAAGTGGAGACCTAACAGAGATCTAGGAGGCATATAATACATGATATTTGATTAACTGGCTGAAAGCTAGAGACATGGCTCATTTACAAAGATTGATTATTCCAGTGGTATCTACTCATTTCTGCCAGCACTGCTGTTTTCCTCTCTTTGAAATCCCCTCAAATTAAGTCATGTTTGGCCTTGAATTTCCATCTCGAAACGCCGATGAACACATTTAATGACAATCTTTACACGAAGCAGAGGAAGGGCTGCTGAATGTCGGATTTACTTCTGAGTAACAAGGAGACTTCTTCAGTTAACCTTATACTGGGAATATTAAGAGCATAACCAAATACGATAGCGCTGAAAATGAGGTTGCCAAAGATTTAGAGCCCTAAACATGCTGCATAAATTATTTGAAATAGCCCAGCTTCTGTTAGGTAGTTTGCAAATCTGTGATTGGGTTCACAGAACACACTGAACCACCATTTACTTCCCAGGCTGTTATAAACTAAATGTTATGCTAAGCCAGTGGCCATGTTTGCACAACACACTGAGCCTTGGGAAAGAGTTTTGTCCATTCCTTCATTCTTTCCAAACACCTTTCTCTGACTATTGCAGCCTTGCTCACCCATTCCTTGAATGAAAGAGCAGGTGTTTGCTTCCAGGGCTTAGGCAGAGAGTTTAGATCTCATTTTACAGCTTGAAGGGTCAGCCGATGCTTTGGCTAAATTAAACCTTCTTTTAATTCTCTTCTGCTCCTGTCACCACTATTTCAACCCTTGGATCACAGACTGCACTCTAAATTCTGGGCTGACTGGGAAAATTGCTATATCCATTTTACCAGGGAGAAAGCCCCAGTGAATTTAATGGGCCTACTTCTGAATAAAGGTGTCTGGAATTGCTCTGGTAGAAACCGTTATACAATCCCTTTCTTTACAGTTAGGTACCAGGAATTACTCATGCAGTAAAGACAGAATCCATTAAGAACTTTGCCCCTCTGTTATTTGCTTATTGTACTGGCATTTCTTTCCACACTCCTGCTGGCAGGGATTTGAGGACACTGAAGAATTAAACATTTTGAGGACATTATATTATAATTGTTACAGTTCTGAGTCACAGAGCAAATGAACTTCATAATTACCAATCCAGGCATTCCCCAGTTGAGTTTTGGGACTCTGCAGTCACAACAAAATGCATTATTTCCTCAGGCAGAGCCCTACATCACGCTCACCCACAATCATGGTTTATTGACTAACAATTGGGTTCATGCATACTAAGACATAAGCCATGACTTACAAACCACAATGGGGGGGGGGGTCAGAGAACAAGCTACATCAAAACCAAACAGACCTCATTATGGGTTAGTGCAACATGTGAAGGAAATACCAAGAGGCCACGAGAGGAAAGTTCAACTGCCTCCTTAATCCCATCTTGCCCATTGCTTCTCCACCATCTTGGAAAGGAAGTCTGCCAGCAGGAAAATGGTCCTACGATCAAACGGATCCCATGTCACAGTGCAACCGAGGTTCTGAATTATCCAAAATGCTTATACTCATACAGCAAGTTCCTCCTTTGAATCCTCCCATCTCTAAAACTAGAAAGACAGTGCCGGCTGAAGCGAACCTAATGGGATCACTGAAGATGGGACATCTTCTATCCACTGTGAAATTGGTATTAGGAGAGAAAAAATGCCCAAGTAAGTTTTCTGGATCACAGCTCATTCCATCTTAGAGATGGTCTGTTTAAGAAAGGATCCGGGATGCCTTTTCCATCTCTATATTTTGAAATACATGTACAAATAGATAATTGAAGCCTGATTAATTAGACATGCCCCAAACTGTGTTATGAGTCTTTGGTCCACCAAGAGGGAATGATGCAGCCTAATTAAAAAGATGAGTTGGATTTTGCACCCAAGAAATGTTTACCCACGTGCTACTTACCAATATGTATATTTTGGTCTCTCCCAAAGATGTTATAAAAGATGATAAGAAATAGGCTATTCTACATAATAAAATAAAACATTATACTTTAGTAGCATAAAATCAACACAGAGTAACTCATGGGACTATAAATATTTTATTCATGTTGTGGTCATTTTTTGGCCATATCAGAAACACTAGCTTGGTTTACAGTATTCATCTCACCAGTTTGACAGCACATGGGTTCAAGCAATATGAACATACTAATTAATTTTTAGTTTCCCACCCTCCCCCACCCCAAAATTTTGAAAACCCACTTTGTAAAGAGCCAATTAACATTTTACTGCCAATTTCACGTTTCACAGACTGGAGGTTTTAACTTATTAAAAATGTGAGTCAGAACAGGCATTATTATATGAGGAAAAAAAAGTTGTTTACATATGTCTGAGTACAAAGAAACAACTTTGTTGAAGCTTACAAAGATGTCATTTAGAAAGGAGGGCAACACATTTCTTAAAAAAAGTTATGTCCCTGTAAAAAATAATTAAAAAATTCTATGAAGGCAATGACTGTATAAGTTACTTCTTTTTTTAAAAAATCTGTAGGACAACATAGTCAAATATATCTTAACACAATTATATAAACACCACATGACAAACTATAAAATATATATATATTATATTATATATATTTATGTATAGCGAATACATTCAGATGCATTGTTCTGTTCAATGTGATTTGGTAGAATTGGCTGTTTTCTTTCCCTTCTTCTTGACTGGCCAAATGAAGCACCCTTTGGAAAGGTTTGTGTCCTGAAATCACGAGCTATCATCTTTCAGGAAGGTTTTGTTGGCGAGATACGGTGGGCCAAGGAAAGCAAAGCGATCTGTCAAAGCTCAGAGATCTATTTGGGGCAGGGAGAGAAGATTGTAGCTACATCTGTGGTCAAGAGTCTAGCATGTTACCAGTTATTTTCCAGAGATGGCTTTAAATCCAGTTGATCAGAGTCGTAGGCAACACACCAGATCATTTATGGCATGGCTTGAATGTTGAGATCAGTGTACAAGGAGATGAACATGTGGGGATAAGTGGAGACCACTGTCCCCTGCTAATTCTATAAATCCCTCTGGGTCACTGTCAAACTAAGACCATGATGCCATCAAAAGACAATGGGGAATGTGCTTATTTTTCAGCACAACGTTGTAGGAACAAATCATATCACATCATGATGTTGCAGTGGTGAGAATGCAAATCTATCAAATGCAGCTGATCCAAGGAATTTGTAAACTATTCTAAAAGGGTTTGGGAGGGAGAAAGAAGAAATGCCCTTTCCTTTTTGGAAATGCAGAAATAATGTATATCTGCATCCTTACTGGTGCCTGGGAACAATTTGGACAAGTTGGCTAGCATGAGTGAAGTTGAGACCATGTGTATCTCTGCTCGCATGACATGTCTGAGAAGGATTCATATTGCCATTGGCCTTTTTATCTTACTTACTTTATTTATTTTTGGTAAAGATGTAGCAAGCAAGGTGATAATGCTATCTAGGACTTAGAGTTACTACATTGTAGGAACCAAACTTGCAGGTGATACTGAAACAATCTGAGTTGCAAGCTGAAGCTGAAGCCAGCATTAGATGAAGGTTAGGGCCAGGGTGGGGGGTAGGAGTGGAAAAGAAAAAAAGAAAACTTTGTTGTAAGGAACTGGCACACTAGGACCTCCAGATGGCAGATATTAAATGCTGGCTTAGCCAGCCAAGAAGCATGTCCGACAGCAAAACTGTACAAATGGCTTGCGTTCACATAACTTGTTGGATTTCACCATCTCGCAGAATATCTCATCAGCTGGGGGAGTATGCATTTGGAAAGAGGAGACAGTGGGGAGAGAGAAATTAGATTAGCATTTCTGTTGAACAGACTAGGATTCATAAGAGCACAAAATCTATTCTGTTGGATGAACTAAAAGTAACACATTGTCCCATTATTCTGAAGTCTAGCCTTCAAAAGACATCCCTCTACAAGGAACTACACAAAAGCACCCTCTTCAAACCTTGTATTTATTCTCAGGGTGTTCTAGCTCAAGAAAATAATGGAATAGGAAGGGGGTGTAGAGTCTCAGCCCTCACCCCCCCAATCTTTGAGAGGACCACTCAAGCTAGCACCAAACTATCATTTTAAGATGATGGGAGGAGTACCATTCAACACTTGGGGAGCGATCATATGAACTGTGTTGCATTTAAATATATCAGTTCAAAATTGCTGTTTGCTGTCTCACCAATTTCTTTGCCTAATCTTTAGAACATGGCTCTAGCCCAGCATTCAGAGGCCAAGGATGGCCAGCAGCCCTTGAAAAACATTGTACCTCCCTTGAATAGGAAAATGTAAAATGAGAAGCTGACACTGCACTGGATAATGCCAAAAGCTGGTATAGTGCAAATGAGTTCCTGCTGTCTTGTTCTCAAAGAGTCTGATGGGATTCCACCACTTAAGAAGTGGGAATACATCATCAAAGGTTTGGTT